TAGCATAATCTTTTGAAGAAAGCAAACCGTCGACTTTTTAAGTGATGGAATATACGTCAGATGAGCGCATAATTTTTTTATATAATGTGATCATTCGAAATGCATCACTTTGTGACTGAATGACGATGTCTTTGTACAGAATCTTAAGCTAGATGTAGATTAAAGTATTAACTGTAGTTAGATTAGTCACTAATCGGAAGTAGGTAAGTCGGGAGAATTAGACAGAAAAATGATTTTTTCGTGTTTTGACGACTGTTACTACTTAATCCGCTACCGACGCCGCAGCTAACAAACATAGCATCTCATGATAGGGCTCAGTAAAGTATTTTGCGGGTTTTTGACTGAGAGGAAATTGATCATGAAAATCTGTCATAGGCCATAAACCGTATACATATAAATTGAACACGCTAGCCAATCAAACGAAATGTTTTTTTTTCTTCAGCAGTGGTCAGTTAATGGTTCACTCTGTTCTGATTCCGTGGCCTAATAACAAAAAAAAAAAAAATTAAAAATAAAGTAAAAACGTTCTCAATAATATTTATTACCTTGGTATATTCCTTGAAATCGTTTATAAATATTTATTACAAAATATTTCTGACAAGTAAATGAAATATGCGTTGTGTACGGTCACCATCAACAAAATCACAGGAATTATATAGCACTATTTTCACATCTTTGAACTGATTTAACTCGGTTCGGATTGTGTTTATGATATAAGACAACATACATTTTTTTGTTTGTAATGTTATTCTGCATCAGTTTATCCACACTCCTAACTAGTGGAGAGCGGTCACCGGTGACCGCTTGGGGATGTACGGGTTCCCAAAAATGCCGGTAACGCACTTGTAACGCCTCTGGTGTTTCGAGTGTTCATGGGCGACGCCGATTGTCTGATTGTCTAGCTGATAAATTGTAATATGTCTGATGATGAACCTGCATCAATGTTTGCATGCCAATATGGTAGAATGTACAACACAAAAAACACTATAAATGTATCCTAAGGGAGAATAAGCCAGTCAACGAGCAGACGGATCACCTGATGGTCACCTGACCGCAACACCAGAAGAGTCACAGGTGCGTTGCCGGCCCTTTAAAAAGGAGTACGCTCTTTTCTTGAAGGTTTGAAGGTCGTCTGTTCGTTTACCGACTTATCCAATAAAACACGTAGTCATTGTGTATGGAATAAATAAATAAATAATGTCAAAAAGTGTAATAAAAAAATAGCAGTACTTATTAAGATTCACATAATTCGTATATAACGCCACAGCGTGTGCAACCTTAAAAATGCACTTCCATGACTCTTCCATGACCTTTCTTCTCAATTTCAAGGTTTCATTAATCATAACTGTCCACCGGTTCCATAACTGTCAGAAATTAATTGTAACCTTGACATTGGTATTGCATATTCGGTTGTGAGTACATGGTATTGACATTGGTTTAAATGCTTATCGTGATTTATCGAAATCTGCTTTGCAATTTTTTAGTCACTAAATGATAAACGGACTATACTAACTATACCTCTAGTATATATATAAAAGTTGCATCGTGTAAAAGTTTACAAAAATGTATATATACCTCTATCTTTGGTTGCATTTTTTAAATATTAAACGATTTTTTTTGAGGATCACACAAAGAGTTGTTCCTTGCGGGAATCGAACCCATTGCACGTAGCGCTGCAGCTAGTCTCCCAGCCCCCGCGCCAACTGTAAAGCCATAAAAATCTGCAGACTGAAGTGGCAATCGGCGGGCCACGTCGCTGGACGGATTAACGGCAGATGGGTCAGGAACGTCCACGGACCGGAAGACGAAGCGTGGGCAGGCCTCCCGCTAGGTGGACTGACGACATCACCAGAGTTGCGGGGAGCCAGTGGATGCAGATGGCGAGTTGTCGTTAGACGTGGAGGATTTTGTTTAAAGGGGGGAAAATCATCTAATACCTTCTCCCGCCTGGGTGAGGCAGGAGGGAGAGTCAGACTCTTACGGACTAAAAACCACCCCGTTCCTACTCTTGCACTTCGAGCCGGAGCGCCGGTAACCCATTAGGTTCTTTGTGGCTCCGTATTGGCATCAGCCCTTTTGGGCCCCATCCGTGGTGGTCCGAGGGCTCTTTGAGGCGCGGAACGCAACGTGCCGCACGGTCGGGTCTGGTTCTGGTCGGGCGGCGTCAGGCCCGTGCTTGCGGTGGCCGGAGATCGTCCCGCTATCCCCGGAGCGTCCTTCGCGACGGCTGGGTTGTGTGGAGGCAGACATGTAGGAGTAAGGGGGA